TTAGCATTGACTACCGTAGGTCGAATTGGAATTACAGAATCTTGTCCTGGGCCATGAACTTCAGTATCCACAATGGAGTTCATTCGTATAGGATTAACAGAATTTACCAATCGATAAATTAACCTACACTAGATTGCTACTTCGTCACTAGAAGCCATTAAATCTTCTAGCCCTGAAGTATGAATTCAAATAACCATAATCCGTTTAAGATTTGGATCCTGGAGACTAACCATATATCCTGGTTTAACAGTCCCGTAGGCATCTCCCAAAGCCAGATTAGCATGAAAACCGCCAACTAGAGCTTTTCCAAACGTAAGCCATCATCTGTCCAATAAAGCAACCTGAATAGGTACATTCATTCCTCCACGGAATAATCCTTGTACATGTATTTGTACAGCACCAAGTTGCACATAATTATACTTGCCATTTGCCCGTTTGGCAAGGTTTCTAACCTTCTGCAGCCACTCATCATTCGAGAATACCAATTCACCTTCTCGAGACTAAGATAAAGCTACACGAACAGGTTTTTCGTGTACATCTTCCAAGCCTTCATCTTTAAATAACCACTCAGAGCGTTTCTCGAAAACTTCTCTAGGTGTTAGCCTCAAAATTACCCAATTCTCCAGGTTACCCGAGTGATCCTCGTAATTAGATGATGAACTAATTATCGAGTTAGGATTTTCATCCTCATCACCGATTCCGCTATTCCTAGGATATTCATTAAGACTACTAGTACTTTGCATGAATATACCTATGTGTTGAAGATTTGAAGATTGTTCCTCAAAAGTCATACCTTTGAGTCATTCTCCGAAGAATCCGACTCTTCAAAGTAATCTGAAAATAATTCATAAACCTCATCATCCGAATCAATTTCGTATCCCCAAACTGGCTCAAATTCAAAAGTTTGGCTTTCAGCGTTGATTTCCAAAAATCTTATCACTGCCTTCTTCTTTCCCTTATGAGGACTTTTATCCGCAAAATGATTGTTGTCACCACAAATCCAGCAACAATTACAATCTTTTGTGTTTTTGCCAGATGGGCAGGTAACACAATACTTACACGCTCCGCGTTCTTTAGCATTGAGTCTACCTTTCCTTGTTAGCCTAATAAACCTTCCATGATCCAAAAGATTCCATTTATTAGTAACAAGTCTTTTTACCATATTATGGAAACGTTTCGATCTAAAATTCCTTTTACCGAATGATCTTTTCCATTTTATATGGTTTTTTCAACCTTGATGTTTAGTCGAATTCCTCGACTCATAGCCATATTGTCATGGCATTCCATCAAAGTTTTGACAACAAGATTTATTGAACTCAAGTCTTTTGGCCTCTTTATCCAATTTGGCGTTTAAATATCTTGTTCTCACGAGTTGTCTAACAGCTTTTATCCTTCCTCCCAAAGAATCAACAACTTGATTCTTTTCGACTAGAAGCTTAAACGCCTCGTTTGCTACCTTATCCCATCCTTGGGGAAGCTTAGCAAAGAAAGTATTTTTCATGACTTCCTGTGTGCCACCAGGCAACTGATAAAGATATCGTCTATATTCGCAGACGAAATTTTCAAACAGACACACGTCACAAAGCCTAAGCTTTATCAAAGCTTCTAAGGCAACTACCTCTGCATTCTCAACAAAGCATATCCTTAAAGAGTGCAAAAATAGCCTCTGCATTCTTTAAGTCCCTTATAGTATCTAACAGACATGTACTAGCTTCTAAACTTCTCTAGAAGCTTCCCGCAGCTCCTTGCAGTGTGGATCTGAGAAATCTATAAGTATCACTGAGTCCAAAATTCTTATTTTGCACATGAACCCCGTTAACAGTTTCCCATGCTTTGGTTGCATCAGTAACATTCTTGACACAATTGATGTTTAGGAAACTTCCACTAGACGGTATCTCCACCATTCTAGGTACTCCCCTAGGTATAAACTCCGACCTTATCCTTGTGGGATAAGTTTGTTTATATTTAGGTTTGGAGATTTCCTTAAGAAATCCTTTGAAAGAATTTAAAGAGTTACGAATTCCTTCAAGTGGGTCATCTTTAAACTCAAATTCCCTCAGTCTAGAGATTAGCTCATCGAGCTCCGCCTTTTTAGGTCTTGGAGTAATTTTCAAACCTCCAGTTTCTTCCCCTTTCCTTTGTTTCTTCATTTCTTCCTCATAATACCTACTGATTCTTTCAGCGTTAGAGGTAGAAATTTTCAGAATATCAACCTTCTGTTTGCCATCCGCTTTAGAAATAAAGTCTTCTTCCTTTACTCATTTCATGAAGAGGCTTTCCGCCTTTTCTCAATTACCTTGGGTTTCTTTGGCCACGAACTGTGCAAACCCTGGAGGCAATCCAGGATATTTTTCCTACAGACTTGCCGCAAACTGATCCAAAATGTCCTGACCACCCATGGTCAATCTGAATCAATTCTTAGACTAGCCGTAAAGTCTGACTCTTTATATGGTTCAGGATCTGGATCCAGTTGGGATTCGTCGTACCATAAGGAATTACCACCTCAGCCTTTTCCAACCACTTATTCCGAAGTTCCAACTCGAAAACTTCAATGGTTGAAATTCGACAGATAAAACACAAAATCTTTGTACACCCTTGACCAAAGGCCTTCTGGATAACATCCAAAAGTCACTTTACTCCTAGCCAAGTCAGATACTCTTCTCGAATATCTAGGTTTCCATTGCAGAGGTCTAACACAACTCGTTTAACCTCTTGTTCTGTATATCCTTTAATAGGCCGCACTTGCTCGATGTCACTTAGAACCAAGGACATCTCCTATTTTACTGACTTAGTAAAATAGTTAGGATGCGTTCCAGTGTCTTGACCTTTTGAAGTGCAAAATTGACCTTTTCAATCTGTCTTCCGATCTGGGTCAATTCTTCGTTTAGAGCAAATATACGATAGACTGTATAATTCACTCTCCTATCTAAGTTATCAAGCTTTGGGGTTAAAAGCTCTAACTTATCTATGACAGTATTTAACAAACCGATCTCCAGTTTTCCCTCGAGTCCATGATCCAAATGAAAACAAGTCTTATTCAAACAAACTTCGTCATTTGAACCATTATTCATGCTATGGAACTTTCAACAAGTTAACAGGGAGATAAAATATATTTATTAGAGTAAAGAATTTTCATTTGCTATTCTTGTAAATTTCTTAGTCATAATATTGCGGTTATTGTACTTGTGTTATTTAAAATGTTATGTAATTTTTATTTTGGGAGGATGAAAATTGATATGTTATTAACTTATTATGTGATGTTATTGTGTTATTGTATGTGTTATGTAATTTTAATTTTGAAAAGATGAAACTTGGTAGTTGATATGTTATTATGTTGTTGTACTTGTGTTATTTAAAGTTTTAAATGGGGCGTTTGGTTGGGGGTTATCTAAGATTACTAGGGTTAAGTCATCTTATATTACTTGATTACTATGTTTGGTTGTCAAGTAATATAAGATACCGGTAATCTTCAAATACCAACAGTGGTTACTATTGGTAATATTGGAGGTAATCTGATTACCTATATTTTCTTAGGTATTCTAAGATTACCAAGGTTATCTTTTTTTGTTACAATTTTATCTCTTATTAATAAAATGTTAGGATAATAATGCCCTTATTTTTAAATTTATTTACATGATTATAGCTTTTACTATTTCACACCAATTAATTAACTTTTTGGACAAAATTACCCTTGAATTCAAAACAAATTGCAGCCCACCCAAGGCACCACCCCCACCCACCAACAGCCGCCAATTGTCGGCAACCACTGTAGCCATCGAAACGGCGCACGGAAGGCCAAAAATGGCCACCATGGGCCGATATGGCCATTTTCAGCCAAATATTTGGCCTAAAATGGCCAGATCGTGCCAGATCTGGTCGTCAAAGGCCAGATCTGTCACTTTTGGCCATTTTTGGCTAGATCTTTGGCCGAAAATGGCCATACAGCACACAAAGGCCATTTCCTACCTTCTGTGCGCTATTAAGTTACCAGCTGCTGGCGGCCTGCGGTGGTTGCTGGCGGCCTGTGGTGGTTGCCGGCCACCGGCAGTGACTGGATTGGTAGGGGTGTTTTGTTGATTTTTCAAACTTTTATTATGGGGTTGTTTTTGCTAAGTTTTTAAATGCAGGGGGGTTTAAATAGTCCAAATAATAATCGATATTAAAAAAATAATATAATAATAATATTTAATTAAAGGACAATTCGGTAATATAAATAACATACCCACCAATTTATTCCTCTCAACCAAACATATTAATATAACATACCCACCAATTAACTAAATACATTTTCTTAAAGATTCCCAGTAATCTTTAAGGTAATCTAACTTTCCAGTAATTCAACATTCCCAGTAATCCAACATTCCTTAAACCAAAAGCCCCTTAAAGTGTTATGTAATTTTATTTTTGGGAGGTTGAAATGGATATTGGAATAGTTGTAATTTTTGTAAAGTTTGTAGGGTGTATTTGTTTTTTCAAAAAACTGTTAGGGGTTATATTTTTTTTAAAATAGGGAGGTAATTGTTATTTTTTCAGGTACATAGAAGTAGAACCAACGGTTTCGGTTTCTTCGAAAAAGGGCGATAGTAGGAACCACCCACCCTAACCAACAGGTAGAAGATATAGAAGTATATCAATAAAGCTACAGACACCGAGGTTTTTGCACCGAAAATGTGTATCGGCCTACGTGTCCCCTGACTCACACCGGTAATCCAGATGCGTGATTAAACAATAAATATTTTTCTAGTGAATGGCTGTCCATCAAATATGGACGGCCGTTCACTTAATATGGACTCCCACGTCCCAATTTAAAAGACGCTCGTCTATAAGTAAAATGGAATAATTTTTTTTTTTATAAAAATTAGAGACAACGGCCGTCCCTTCATTTTAGACGGGCGTCCGTAAATAAAGGACGCCCGTCCTTAACTAAAATATAAAAATAAAAAAAAAAAAAACTTTGGGGACGGCCGTCTAAAGCCGTCCCTTGTCCATTATTTTAGTTTTTATACAGTGAGTGCGAGAAACCATGCATGCGAGTTTTTCTTCAGAGAAAGTCCCCTTTTTTTGCAGTAATGTTTCGAGAGTGCCGGCGTCATGTACTCCATCACCATGGCAATATCCCCTGAAGGTTTTTCGAAAACGCCGTGGCACTGGACGATGAAAGGAGAGTCAATACGGCGGAGGATTTCCATTTCGCGGAAGACTTGGCGGCAAAGGGTGGAGTCGCTCTCGCCGTGGACAACTTTCAAAGCAAATATCTTGTCAGTCCGTTTATGACAGACTTTGTAGACAGTTCCACCATTTTCGTGGCCGAGGACTTGTAGCCTGTCCAAGTCTGCGCATGTTATGGCGGCTGTCACGGCGGCAGAATTGCGAGAGGGGGCGGTAGTTGGAGGGAGAGGTAAGGGGAAACGTGGGCAACGGTCGGATTCTGGTAAAGGGAGTTGCAGATTCCTCTGTCTGCGCTGCCTGACAACTGCCATTAATACAACTAAGAGCTTCCAGTTCAGGGTTTGACGAGATAAAATGAAGTGAAGCGAGGGATTATATATAAAAATTTTGAAGGGAGAAGAAATGAATGCTTGATGAAGTGAGAGAGCTAATTGGGGAAGTTGAAGATATTCATGGATATTTATGGACTGGAGTCCGTCTCATGAATGCGCTTTTGAATACGGTTAATCAATGGTTAAGTTTTACTTGCATGAAAAATCAAGGTTGCTGTATGTTTATTTGTTATCAGAAGATTTGTTCGAATAATAATTTATCCTCTGGTTAAGGTTGCTGTATGTTTATTTGTTATCAACGAGACCGGAGCTCTTATGATCTTCTGTACCACTTTATTAATTTTACTGATTAAAAAGTTTTTTTTTTGGGGGTTAATTTTTCTAAGTTTTCAGTGTTTAAAGCTACTAAAAATGATAGTTTCTGTTGGAGATAGCTTAATGTTGCTATAAGTTTTAGTTTCTCAAAATTTATGGTTCGAGTAAAGGAAATGGATGCTTAAGTTTTGATTTCTATGATTGTAGTTCCAGAAAAAACCTCAGTTGCTGGAGATGGCAGTCGTGTTCAGTGATCTTAACTCAGCCTCTGGTTTGAAGAAACTTGATGAGTACCTTCTGACTCGTAGTTATATTACTGGGTGAGTTCTATTTTGCTGTATATTTGTCTGTGTGCTCCCAAGAATAGTGATGGTAATGATGGTTACTTTCGCCTGAAGAATTTTAAGCATTTTGCTGTGTTGCTCGTATTAGGTACCAAGCTTCAAAGGACGATATTACACTTTATGCAGCTCTTTCAAAGGCACCGTCGTCTGAATATCATACAGTTTAGCCTCGCACGCTTGGTTTCTCACACTCACTGTACAAAAACCAAAATAATGGACAGAATGGACGCCCGTCCAAACGTAAGGGACGGCCGTCCAAAATTTATGGACGGCTGTCCCCAAAGTTTTTATTTTTTTATTTTTATATTTTGGTTAAGGACAGACGTCCCTTATTTGTGGACGCTCGTCCAAAATGAAGGGACGGTCGTCCATAACGGATGAATGACCGTCCCTAATTTTTATAAAAAAAAAATTATTCCATTTTACTTATGGATGGACGTCCTTTAAATGAGGATACCCGTCCATAGTAAATGGACCCCCGTCCATATAATATGGACGAGAGTCCATATAAGTGAACGGCTATCCATATTGATGGACGACCGTTCACTAGAAAAATATTTATTGTTTAATCATGCGTCTGGATTGTTGATGTGAGTCAGGGGGACATGTAGGCCGGTACATATTTTTGGTGCAAAATCCACGGTGGGTAGCTTTATTGATTAGTATATATGCTTGACCTGATGAAGTAGTGTTTCATTTTCAAAAGGTAAGTAGGGCATCTAATTCCCTGCAGTTCTTTCATTGGCCATCACTTGATGGATTTCCTATTCAGAATTTTAATAGTATTCACGACTTTAATACAATTTCCCCTTATGGTCTAATAAAATAACAATTTTAATAGAATTTTTTTTTCTTGGAAGAAAGAAAATGTGGCCCTCTTTTTTCTTGAAGACACCACCAGAATCTATTTATCGATAGATTTTCACAAAAAATATGGGTGAGTAAAAAAAGTAGCCATAGAAAATTTTCTTTTCAAAAAGTTATATAATACAACTTTGACAAGGAATGGTTAGACAAGACAAGAAACAATCAGTTTGGTATTACTTTTTGAATAACATAATACATTACATTATTTAATTATGTTTGTATAGGCAATTATTTAATTATGTTTGTATAGGCAAAAAATCGCATTTGGCTTGATGAGACCTAATAACAAAACAAACAGATTACGACCTAAGGCCTTAACCTAATCCCGATTGGGCCTATGCTTAAATTCACCTTTTAAATTATTCACTCTATGAGTTGGCCTATTCTACAAGTTCGGCTAGACTGAGTTCTAGCCCAGTAGCTCACAGTAGTCCATAATAGGAATCAAAATCCTATCTAGTTTCCACTTCTGTCAAGATCCTGGATCTAACTTAAAATGGTAAGCCTAATTTGATAAAGGGAAGAGATCATATGTCCTTCCTAATTGGAGCTCATCTACCAAGTAAGACTCAGAGTCCTATTACAATTCCAACCCCTAGGGTTCACTATATAAACAAAGGAAAACCCTCTCATTATTCATTGAGTAATAACCTGTAGCACCTAGCTCTCAAAATTCTTGCTCCCAAGAACCACAACATTAATTCGGTAACCTTTCATTCCTCAGCCCTCACTAAAAACCCCCAGCCTCACTTACTTGAGCGTCGAAGTGTCTATGGTAGACACGACACCGGTATTCATCTAGTCTTCACGTTCTTTTTTATTCTTTGTGCAAGTCCATTAGGTTCTCAATGGCTCTACTCTCACAAGATCCATCCCTTCCGAATCGACAGTAAATTTTACTGTCTACAATGTTAGAGCGGAAATGCGCATCCAAAAGTATCATAGATATGTAAATGATGGTCGACAATTATATATGTATTTATTGGTTTCTTTTTCATGTTTGGTAAGAATTTTGGGGAATTGTATCCAAATATTGCTTGATATTTAGATATTTTTTAATCATCCCCAATTTTTTTTATTTTTTAAATTATTGGGGTTGAGTTAGATAATATTTTTAAAATCAAAGGAATTTGTAATATTTTTAAAACCATGTGAGAAGATTTTGGTATTCTAGTAAATTTTTGGGTGTCTAGGTGATATTTATGCAAATGCGAAATTCGAGGATCGATTGAGACAATTATTCCCAAGCACCACTCTCTTTCCGGGAAGAAAGAAAATTTAGCCCTCTTTTTCCTCCGCGGGCCTTTATTGACAAGACTTTGACAAAAGAGATTAGTGTATGGAAACTGAGGGATAAAGACTTTGACAAAAGAGATTAGTGTGTGGAAAAGGAGGGATGAAGTTTTGGTTGGTAGACGCCGGCCACGATTGAGATCATAAAGAGATAAAATAAAAAATATATAAATTTTATGACAGAGAATACATTGTTTTTTTTTTTTTTTTTTTTAAAGAAACTTAATAAAAGAGATAAATAATAAATAAAATATATAAAACCTTGTAATTTATTATATAAAATTAGGATAAAGAGTAAAATTTAACTCTCTAGATGTAGAGAGTCAAACTTACTATTTAATTTATATTTAAAAAATAAAGAATCTGTTACACTCTTGTTTTTATGGATAAACTCTTTATAATAAAAAGTTTTAATCATATAAAGAGCCATTTGAAGATGCTCTAAAAACTATATTTTAGAAGTAAATGTTATTCATGTTAATTGAAGGGCAAAATGATAATTTTATTAGGTTAGATACTTTTATTGTTAAGGGTGGAAAAAAAAAACCCGAAAACCGAACCGGACCGAAAATCCAATTTTTTTTCGGTTTCAGTTCGATTATTAAAAAAACCGAAAATCCGGTTCGGTTTTTGGTAAAATAAAATTCGGTTACCCGAAACCGGTTTGCTGAATCGAAAATTATTTATTAATTATTTGTTTTTATTTTTTGCGTTTTTTACTCTACAGTATACTCTTTTTAAAAATAACATACACCCTTGTGTCTGTTAGTCTTGTCACTCGTGTCTAACACTAACACAAGTACACAACACTACAACAGATCTACACTCAATCTCAGCCTCTGATTCTCAGATTTCTCACCGCCGCATGCCGCAGTTGCATTCTCTGTCGGACTCACCTCACGCCGCACGTCACCACGCCACAGCCGCATTCTCTGTCTCTCATTCTCTGTTGGACTCACCTCATGGCTCACTCACCTTAGATCTCAGTAAGTCTCACATTCTCTCTTAGATATGTGTTTCCGATGGGTTTTAGATCTGGGTTTTCAGATTTGTGTTATCACTTGTTTATTCATGTTTATTTGCAGCCAAACTAAAGAAATTTATGGATTACTTTTAATATATGATCCCAACTCATCCGACAGATATACAGGTTCTCTCTTTTTCCTTATGAAATCATATTACGTAAAATAAGTCAACCGAAATTGATTTTGTTTAATCTTTTTGTCTAATAAAGGAATGTTGCACGCCCATTATCTTCCTTCTTTCTCTTCCCAAAAGTTGCTCAATTTGTTTTGTCTGCTTTGGACGGTTGGAACTCTTATCGCCAAGAATGATTCCCGATAATTAATTGGATCAGCAGGAACCCTTTTACTTCATATTCATGTTATGATAATATATGTATTTCATATGATCCTCACACATTGTATTACGAACCGAAATAGCAATAAGAAAAATCTCTTTTCTNCAGTACATCAGAAACTTGATTCATCTCTCTCTCTTAACGCCTGAAATTGTGGTGGTTTTTTATTTATTTTTTTTTTATTGGTATGGTAATTGGTGGCCACTCCATGCCCTTGCTACAACTTGAACCCAAGACCCATTGGTCTTTTAACTCTTCAATCCATCCTTCACACCATCAGGCCACAAAGGGTGGTTAATTGTGGTGGCTTTTTCACTTTGAAGAATCAGTGTTAATAACTCGTTTTTCCAGTTCCCATGAACTAGTAAAGTTTCTTCACATGGAATAAAAAAATCATCATATAACATGGAATATCAGCTGTGTTCTCTAGCAATTGTAATAATTGACATTGGAATTGCTCTCTAAAAATGTCTTTGTACTTTCAGAAGCAAAGAATATGATGAAGAGCCCGAAAAGGGTGATCGTGAAGGCAACATATGAAAATAAGGAGCTCATAGACAATGATGGCTCTTGCTTTAGTCCAAGAAGCTTATTTGCCTTGCCCACTGACAGTAGTTCCCTCATGCTGGAATCTCTCAATTTTGTAGATGAAAGTTCTGACCAGGATTTGCTGCTGGTGGACGTGCCATCCAACAGCTCATTCCCTCAGGCAGAGCTCCTTCACCCAGCTTTAAGTTTTGGCCAAGCTAGTACTAGTAGTAGCTCAGTTTATCCAAATCCTGCCCGACCATAAGAGGGCT